CCTTGGCTTCCGCGTTTACATTGATGACTTTACCACGACCTTGGCTGACAGTTTTTCAGTGTCGTATTCTAGGACCTTTATTTCCGCTTCCCTTCAGTTGCAGATATACCATGATTTGTATATCATTATCACTTGGAATGGCCTTATCTTCCAGTTCTCAGACCCATAAGCCCTTTCTCGGACCAGTCTTACCCTTGTCCTGTTCTCAGTTCTTTAATCACACCTTGATCTATCAGTCTGTCAACTTCTTTTCTGAGTCTGCCTCTGTCATACCCAGTCTGGAACCACTTGGCAGCCATTCTGATATCCTAGAATCTCACTCCCTCTGATACTGTGATTTATAATAAGAAATATATATTTGTCTCCAACCCTGTTGCTGGCAGAGAGCTCCTAAAACCCCTGGAATTTCCTGTGATAAGAGCATTAAAGGTGTCTTTTGTCTTGTTAATGAGGCACTTTTGGAAAGCCCTCAGGTAACCTAAGGATGGACGCTGGTTACCTGGGGACCCAATCTGTGCTTAGAGGGTTGGAACTGTCATTCCCACTCCTGACCTCCTGGGAGCAGAGAGGGGCTAGAAGTTGAATCAGTGGCTAACGGCTAATGATTTAATTAATCATGTCTGAGTAATGAAGCCTCCATGAAAACCCAAGGGGACCGGGGGTGGACAGCTTCGGGGCTGATGAACACGTGGAGGTGTGGGTAAGTGGTGCCGGGAGAGGGCGTGGAAGCCCCGCGCCCTTTCCCCATGCCTTGCCCTGTGCATGTCTTCCATCTGGTGGGAAACACCTGCTTCTGAGTTATATCTTTTTGTAATAAACTGGTAGTCTAGCGAGCAAAGCGTTTCTCTGAGCTCACCCAGCTGCTCTAGCAAATTAATCGAATCCAAGGAGTGGGTCTTTGGAGCCTCCTCCCGTCTACAGCTGGCAACCTGGGCTTGCGAGTGGCATCTAAAGTGGGGCAGTCTTGTGGGACTGAGCCCTCGCCTGTGGAATCGGATGCTCTCTCTGGGCAGACAGTGTCAGAACTGAGTTGAATTGTAGGACACCCAGCTGATATCAGAGAATTCATTGGTGGTGTGGGGGATCCCCGCTTCCCGACATTGGAATCGTGCAGAACCCTGTACTCCCTTGACCTTTGGCCTTGCCTGCCATCCGAGACCTCCCTTGTGCGACTTACGTTGCTCTTAGATCTGGCCTGCTGTGTGCTGCTGGGTCCGCTTAGTCCAGGGTGTTCAACCAGATAATCCTTTGTTGTGGGGGCTGGTCTGTGCATTGTGGGGTGTCTAACAGCATCCCTGACCCCTATCTGATAGATTCCAGTAGCACCCCCAGTCATGACAAGCAAATGTGCTTCCAGACATTTCCAAATGTCCCCTGGGGAGGAGGGAAGCAGGGTGCAACCTCACTCTGGTTGAAAACTACTAGGTTTGTCAGTAAAACTTGGTGGTGACTGGGTCTATAAGAAATTGATTAATTGTTTTTTAAGTATTTTGGTGACTGGTTTATTGACTTTGTTTAATTATTTATTTATTTTTGCTGAGGAAGATTAGCCCTGAGCCAACATCTGTGCCAGTCTTCCTCTATATTATAGGTGGGTCGCCACCACAGCATGGCTGACAAGTGGTGTAGGTCCACACCCGGGATCTGACCCTGCAAACCCGGGCCGCCAAAGTAGAGCACGCCAAATTTAAGCACTAGGCCGTGGGGCTGGCCTGTGATTAGTTCTTTAAAAAGCTTCGTTTTGGGGAGTGCTTGCCCTACTGAGGCACTGTTTGAGGGCTTTGCATATGGGCATGTATTTATTTAATCCTCAGAGCAACCTTGTACAGTAGGTATAATTATGACCCATTTCCTAGCTGAGTAAGGGGCAGCACAGAGTCGAGGTGCAGTGCCCCCGCGCAGGGCTGCTGAGGGCTAGAGCCAGGACACCAACCTGCTGTCAGACCGCAGAGCCTGCCAGTAGGAGCCACCCGCTCCAGTCCCACTCTGCCTTGCTGAACAGCCGTCATTTTGAGTCTTTGCTGCGTGTGTAAGTTGCCTGTTGCTGCAAAACACACCATCCCAGACTTTATTCTCCTCTAGACAACATGTTCAAAAGAAATGTTTTTTAGAGAAAAAACATTGTATAGTATTTAATTTGCCAGGGCAACAAGTGCCTTATTACTAAGTATTGTGCACTTGGCCTCACTGCCAGGTATTCTGTGCTTGACGGAAAATTGCTCTGCGTATATTCTTTTAATTATCCCCATTGTTTTCTTCCTCTCCTCTCATTCCCACTCTCTCTCGTTCCTGGCGTGGCTGAGTCCCACACTTTCTGAGCTTCTTCAGGACAGAGGCTGACTTCCACAGCTTCATCCTCTGCGTGCATCGTTAGCTGCACTCCCTTCCCTCGGCTTCGTTGATTCCCACTCTTTCCATGCTTGCCGTCTGCTGGAAAGGTGTTGAAATCTCTTGTGTGCTTTGTGTCTCCGTTCTGTTCTCTTCCATACTGAGGGTGTGTCATGTCTTCACTCATTCTTCTACCATCATTTAATGGGATTCCAGGAGGGAAAGAGATAAATGTAGGTACTCACTCTGCCATCTCGACCTGCTAATCTGTTTATTTTCATAAAAGAACATAGTTACGAGCATAGCATATTGCTTAGAGTTGAGCAAACAAAAGATGTTGCAGCGTGGTTCATAAAAGGGAGTCACTTTATAATTACTCATCAGAGATGCATGTTGAAATTTTTTGGCTAGCTAATATGAAGTAAAGTACATATAGCATTTCATTGTTTTTGTTGTTACTGTTTGCATGAAAAGAGGAAGCTGAGTAGGATATTGGCTTCCATTTTTAATATTTATTACTTTATAAAATTCTTTTTATATTTTAGAGTATTTAAGAATTCCTACTACAAAAATTTATAGGTATCCAATTTTTTTTAGTAACAAATGCGAAGATAGATCCAGAGAGGTTAAATGACATATGCATGATTTTTTAGCTATTAATGGCTGAGCTGGTCATAGAACTCAGGTTTCTTAAGTATTTCTCTTATTCTGCTATATTGTTTCCTTCATTTTAAGGGTTTTTTTTTTTTTTTTGGATGAGGAAGATTGGCCCTGAGCTAATGTCTGTGCCAGTCTTCCTCCACTTTGTACTTTGGACAGCACCACCTGATGAGTGGTGGGTAGCTCACTCCTGGGATCCGAACCCGCCCACCCAGAGCCCCCGAAGCGGAGCGAGCGCCACCAGGCCGGCTTCCTTTTTAAGTTTTTAAACAATGTTTCTATCTACTTTCCGTCTTCTGAGGCAACTCGTATTTAAGAACCTGTTCAGTGTGTCATGAGCTTTGAGTGGCAGGTCTGGTCCTCGGGTGGGACGTGAGGCGGCTGACCGGGTGACAGCTCCTGTTTCCTTTAGCACTGGGAGCCTCGGTTCCAGGCTGTGTGTTAAATGTCCTCCTATGCATGACAGCTATAATGTGTGTATATATACTTAATATGTATTAAAAATTTAAAGTAATATGTAGTCTTTATGTTCTAGATGTTCTGTAATAACTAATATAAGGAAAAAATAGTTCTACACAGAAATTACTAGTGAGCATTTGATGTCTTTCTCTTGAGGGGTTTATATCTCTGTATGGTATCACTGTGAACATGTAAATTTGTGTAAGTATGTATGTGCAATGTTATTTTTTTTTCATTGAGTTAATGATAGGTTACAATCTTGTGACATTTCAGTTGTACATTAATGTTGGTCATTCGTGTTGTAGGTGCACCCCTTCACCCTTTGTGCCCACCCCCTACCCCACCTTTCCCCTGGTAGCCACTAATCTGTTCTCTCTGTCCACATTTTTAAATTCCTCATATGAGTGGAGTCATACAGAGATTAGCCTTCTCTAACTGGCTTATTTCACTTAACATAATTCCCTCAAGGTCCATCCATGTTATGTGCAATGTTATTTTTAACTAGCTGCCAGATAGCCAGTGTTCCCTGAAATTTGATGGGAATCGCAAACCTCACATGTGCAAAACTAACTTACTCTGCTCCGACACTGCTCTTCAGCCCCTCCCCGGCTCCCCTCTGACCTGCCTTTCTATGGTCAGCTGGCGGTCAAGTCCTTGCTGTGCTATTTGGTGCACAGCTCTCCATCCGTTCTTCCATATTCCTATGACCACTGCTTCCTCTCGGCCCTTGTCATCTCTGTCTCAGCTCATTGGAAGAGCTTCTCAACGCTTTACCAGCTTCCCACTTTTTTCCTCTCTGTGGTCCATCTTGCATACTGCTGCTGAAGTTTTGTTTTTAAAGCAAAGAACAAGTACCGTCACCCCATTAATGAGAAACCTCTTCATTCTCTGCTGCTTGTAGAATAGCGTCCCCTCTTGCTCTGACTCTGACACCTGACACCCTCCTGCTCGCCCTCGCCCGTGCTGGGAAGCCTTGTCTAGGACACTCTCCTTACCCTGCTTGGATTCCAGATTCCACCCTGGGCCACCGCGTCTTCACCATCCCCCACCAAGTGCAGATGCCTGCTTCTCTCTGGCTCCTCTTCAAGAAGGAAGGGGAGGAAGAGGAAGTTGAAGAGCATGGCTGGCTTTTTTTTTTTTTTCATGAGGAAGATTGGCCCTCAGCTAACATCCATTACCAGTCTTCCGCTTTTTTTTTGCTTAAGGAAGATTAGCCTGAGCTAACATCTGTGCCAGTCTTCCTCCACTTTGTATGTGGGATGCTGCCACAGCATGGCTGGTGAGTGTAGTAGGTCTGCACCTGGGATCCGAACCCACGACCTCAGGCGGCTGAAGTGGAGCATGTGGTACTTGAACCACTCCGCCACAGGGCTGGCCCCCATACCTGGCTTTTTAAAGCAAAATTCCACTTCAGTGTTTTTTATTATTGCTATACAATGGAAATGTAGAGCAAGCTGACTTTTAAAAATTTCCACTGGAAGATTTTATTATACCTACCGTATTATACCCTTATATTGAATTATATGCATATAAATATCTCTTTTCACACTTAGGGCTCTCTGAAAAATGTGGAATCCTTCGCGTCTATGCTGAGACACTCTCCTCTGACACAGATGGGACCTGCCAAGGATAAACTGGTCATTGGACGGATCTTTCATATCGTGGAGAATGATCTGTATATAGATTTTGGCGGCAAGTTCCACTGTGTGTGTAGAAGACCGGAAGTAGACGGAGAGTAAGTAGCAGCCCTTCCAAACACTTTGAGGGTGTTTAGAGAAGTTGGGATACCTCGAGAGTGTTAGTGCACCTAGGCGATTTTTGAAAAGATACTTATTTCTTTTGATAACAGTACTAGAAGAAGAAGCTGAAGTGCTTAAAAAATACTTTGTTAGGGGCCGGCCCCATGGCCAAGTGGTTGAGTTCGTGCGCTCCGCTTCGGCGGCCCAGGGTTTCGATGGTTCGGATCCTGGGCGTGGACATGGCACCGCTCGTCAGGCCATGCCGAGGCGGCGTCCCACATGCCACAACTAGAAGGACCCGCAGCTAGAAATATACAACTATGTACTGGGGGGCTTTGGGGAGAAAAGGGAAAAATAAAATCTTTAAAAAAAAAATACTTGTTAGTCGAGTTAGGCCAGGTTCATGTCTTCTCAAAGCACTAAGGGCAGTTTTGGGGAGGATGTGAGTGTTCATCCTGCTGTTCAGCCGCTCCGCACCAGGAGGGGAAAACCAGCTTTGTAGGAGGAGGTGCTGCTCAGGCCCTTTTCCAGCAGCCCTTATCGCCGCCTTGTCCCACAGTCGCTTTCCCTTCTCAGAGAAGCTCCTCTTTCCACTTCTTCACGCTCCTTCCTCTCACTCCACCTAATTCCGATGCTTTATTATTTTCTTTCCGTATTATGTTACATCTATTCTCAGGATTATTATTTTTCTTATTATATGATTTCGTATAAACAGAATTCATTCTGTTTATAGACTGTGTAGATAAAGATATTTGTGAATATAAATCTGCATTGGGGAAACCATGAAGGGGGGAGATTTACGAGTAGAATCTCAAGAGTGAGAGGAGATGTTGAACTAAGATTCTGAGATTGAAGACAACAGCAAACATGATGGAAATGATTTTTTTGCCATCAATCCATTTTTAAAGTGCACATTTTTTTAGATTTTAATATTTCTGGTATCAGGATGCATCTTACAGTTGATGGTATATCAATTTAATTGGCAGTACTTTTTCTTCTTAATAGTACAGAAAATGATGGTGAATCTAATAATCACTGGCGTCTTAGGTAGGATGGGTGACATGGTTAAGAAGTTTGTGATGTTTAAGAATGAGCCGTGTTGTAGAAATGAAGAGTCTGTTGCAGACCTAAGCGATTAGTTACGAGAGTGGGTTGCCTCCCTCCTGACGGCTCTGGACCTCCAAAGGTCCAGTCAATAGCTGGGCTCACCCAGTTAGGAGCCGTGAGCTCATCTCCCTGAGGCTGACTAGGGCCTGACAGATGTAACAGAAACACACATTTCCTCAGAGCAGTGATGTGTGGGTAAGTGTTTAACAGCCAGCTCTCCGCTAAAAAAAAAACCCTGATTTGGGGCTGGCCCCATGGCTGAGTGGTTAAGTTCTCACGCTTCGCTTTGGCGGCCCAGGGTTTCGCCAGTTCAGATCCTGGGCACAGACATGGCACCGCTCATCAGGCCACGCTGAGGTGGCATCCCACATGCCACAACTAGAAGGACCCATAGCTAAAAATATACAACTATATACCTGGGGGCTTTGGGGAGAAGAAGAAGAAAAAAAAAATGCCCTGATTTGCCTTTTTCTGTGGCATAAAATATTCCCACCATGGCCAAGTTGAGGTTTCCAATGTGACATTACTGAATGTGGAGTAGGGACCACGTGTGCAGTCAGCTCTCCCTAGCTGGTGCCGTCTGGCTCCAGTCCACCACCGCCTCAGATCCTCAGAAGCTGTATTCTGTCTTAGTGTGGCGGGTGGTATAAATCAGGGCATACCTGGAAGAGAAAGTGGACTTTTTACGCTGCCTGCCGTGAGAGACACTGGCTCAGGCGTGACTGCCTTACTCTATCAAGTAACATACAAGATTAGTCAAAAATGGTAAGGTGTAAAGAAATATCTAAGTAGGATGTCTGTCAATTCAGATTTTAAGACTGTAATCTGTATCTACTGTGTACTAAATTGTTGAAAGGATTAAATTAGATAGTGTCTGTAAAGATTTAGAACAGCAACTGGTATAGTAACCGTATGCTACTACTGTGATTGTTGTTCTTGAAATCCTGGTGACGGGGTCTTCATGAACTAATGATGGCGTCCCTCAAGAATTCCTGTTGAGGAGGGTGATGCGGGTGTGAAGATACGTGGCACTAAAGTTATGCTTCAAGAGAGGCATCCTGAGCTCTTGGGTGCTTCAGCAGGAGCTGTAACAGATCGTTTGTCATTAATAGGACATGTGTCGGTACTGGTGCTTACCAGAGGGCAAGCGGGGAGGGAGGAGGGCGAAAGGGTGACAGGACCCATGTGGACGGTGACGGGTAATTAGTCTTTGGGTGGTGAACCTGACGTAGTCTGCACAGAAACTGAAATATGATGAGGTACACCTGAAATTTGTATAATGTTATAAACCAGTGTTACCGCAATAAAAAGAAATCTCAAAAACAACATGTTGGATTTCAAAAGAAGAAAATGTATTGGTAATTTAAAAATGAAGTACTGTTTTATTTTACACGAATAGCTTCCCTGGTCTCCTCCTTGTGGTTAGTAGGCTGTTGCTCACGCTGGCAGGTGCTTCCCCCTTGCAGTGGCTACCCTTGTTCTTATGACCTGACACGCAGCCGGAGCACCAGGTATGAACTCTATAAAAACGCGTGTTTCACATACATCTGCTGAGATAGGAACATTTCACCTGCACAGTCAAGTTTATTATAAATTGCAAATGCCAGTGACATACCTATTTCTTTATATTTGTGTATGGAATTTTGTTTATGATGTTTCTTTCATGGGTTTTTGTTGTTATGGAAGGTAATTTTAATGTTTTGGAAAGATTCTATAAATAAGAGATTTTTTTCTTTTTTTAAATGAAGTTGCTATTGAATTAGTTTTAGCAAGAAAACTATAAAGATTGGGGGGGGTGCCGGAAATCATACAAACGTGGAAGGAATTGCTTTCCAAATGTCTTTCTGTTCTTGTTCTGCTGTGCAGCGCCTGACCCTGGCAATCCCAGACGTTGCGGTGTGGGTCATGTTTCCGTACGGAGATGGTGCAGAGCTCTGGCTTCTCCTCGGCGAGAAGGCCTGGCCTTTTATCAGAGTATTTGCATTAACTGCTTTAGGTTATTGTCTTTGCAGTGTATGTGTATACTTTTCTTATGAGTCCCCGCTTTGACCTACCTTCCCTTGAAGCAACCTGTGAGTCAGAGGGCATCTACCTGATTGCGGAATGTGGAGCAGTTTCCCATCATGTCAGCCTGCCTGCCCTTTTCTTTAGACATTTCTTCTTTAATTATTGTCATTAATATAGCCCACAATTTCACAAAATTTGTCCTAGCATGGATTAAGATAGTTTCCTTTCCTTATTCCCATCTGATAATCATAATAGCTGGTTTTTTGAAAACTTACATTGATGTCTTGAATATATTGTCTCATTTATTCCTCACAGGAAGCAAAGTTGATGACATTATTCCCATTTTCCACATGAAGACAGTCAGTCTCCGAGCGTAAATGATGTGCTGCAGGGACACGATGGGTAATTGACAAAGCAGGGATTCAGACCTGGGCTGTGTGTACCCAGTGCCCGTGGATGTTCTTTTCCCTCTACTGTGCTCTCTAAACCCCATCACATACAGTTACTAAAGTGTCATAAAAACTCCTGAGAGAGTCTCGCATATGAGCCAGTTTCACGCCAGGCCCCCTGAAGGCAGTGTGGTGGTGAGGCTCCGTGGAGGTCTGTTACAGAGTGGTGGGCAGCCTGGGAGATGGTGTCCGAGGTGAGGTGTGTGTGATAGTGTTCCCACCAATAAGCTGTGACCAGCGGCTCCAGGCTTTGTTTCAGATTCGATGTGTGTGTATCATAATTATGGTGGGACCTGTAGTCACAGAAGTGGTTAGTAACTTGGGGTTACATGCTTGGTGTTATTTGGGAATGGTATATTTCAAAAAAAGTTTATTCTGTAAATGGTAGAAAGTTGACTCTTTATACATGTAATACTTAATTTTTAATTATTTCTTTTTTAAAGTTCTGTCATCTACTTTCTTTGAACCTTTTAGATCTAAAGTAGTTTAACTTGGTTTTTTTATTTTTGTTTTTGATGATCCAGGGTCATAATTATAACCATTAATTTCTGTATGGTGTCATAATTCAAATATAGAGAATTCTTGCTCCTTAAGCACATACCCCCTAGTTTTGTAGTTTTGGTGTTTCACCTTTGGGTGTCATCTTTCTTTTCTTGCCGTTCTGCCTGTGTCTGCTTTTTTTTAGCTTTCTTAGACCTCTTAATTTTCTTCTCCTAATATGCTGATGCCTGGGAAATTGCTCACCAAATTTGTTGTGCTTAAAATAAGAAGAACTAGTGTTGCAGTAAAAGCCTGGCAGCCTCTCCTCTAAGTGAAGTGCATGTGCTTTAGTACACGGACTTCAGCATGTACTTTGACAGCTCCTAACTCCTCTGCTTGGCTCTCACTGGGTTCTGTGAAGACCCGATGTCACCAGATAGCTGATTCCTGATAAGTGAAGTGTGCCTGGGTTGGGGTTTTGCCTGTGTGATGCCCTCGATGGGGGCTGTCACACATCAGAGCAGTGTTTGTTGAGCCAGTCAAGGTGTTGAGTGTTTTGGACAGGAGTAGCCATCGTGGTTGAGACTTTAACACCTTCAGCAGGAACAGTAGCAAAAATAAGATGAGATTACTGGATCTCAGATACTGTTTGACATGGTGCCGGTTCTTACAGTGAACTTGTAAGTAAATGAGTAAATTCCTTAAGAACATTCTTAAGTTGAAAGAATTGCCTTGTGCCATTGATTAGATTGGTTGGCCTGGAAGATACTTGTAATACATTTATCAGTTTCAAGAGTTAAGCTGCTTCACTGGCATCTTCCAGAAGGGAGCTTAGACCCTTGTCTGGTGCCCTGATTTTTGTGCCGCTGCCAGCGGACACCTCTGCGTCACCTGGCTCTGGTGGCCAGAAGGGCTTGTGCTCTAAATCCCACAGGACTGTAACCAACAGAGAA